CCATGGAGTGACTTGTACACAAGCAGAGCTGTTTTAAAGTCTATTCTCTGAGCCACAGGAAGCCAGTGCAGAGACCTGAGAACTGGACTAATATGGTCGTACTTCCTGGTTCTAGTCAGGACATATACACTTATACTACTAATATATATATATGTGTGTGTGTGTATATATATATACATATATATATGTATATATATATATATATATATGTGTGTGTACATATATGTATATATATATATATATATATATATATATAAACAACAACAAAACATGTAGAGGTGGTAGCTCGATGAATAAAAGTCTTTGACTTTCGATTTTTCCACACATCTGATTTTGCAAATGAATGAAAGAAAGTTCCGTTAAACCTTCCCCTTAATCCATTTCTGGGTCAGGGGTGGTAATCAGAGCTGCACCACAGGAGCCTTGATCTTTCAGCGGGGGCTTCAGGCAAAGTCGGGTTAAGTGTCTTGCCCAAGGACACAACAATAGCAGACATCAGTGGGAGACATGAAGTAGGTCCCCTGGTGGACTAGAACCAACGACCATCAGGCCCAAAGGCCAATGCTCTACAAACTGAGCCACTGTGGCCCCCAAATATGTAACTAATAATTTTTTTCAAGGTAATTTACCCAATACAGTATTCAACTGAAGCTGGGTACCCTAACTTTCAAATCACAACAAATGAAATTCTTGTCACCTGTTCCTGGCTCTAAAATCGTTTGCTTCTGTCTTGTTCTCACGTATGTCTGAAGGCCGAGAGAGTGGTTTTGTTTGACACAGGGCTTAGCCTTGCAAGTATCACACCTATTTTAATCCATTTGAAGCTAAGCAGGGCTGGGCCTGGTAAGTACTGTGATGGGAAAATCATTATTGTTACACCAAAAGTATTCAATGATCCACAACCTAATATGTCGTCTGTACACAAAAAAATTGTGGGGAACAGACCATGCAAAACATTGAAACATTAGATATAAAGCTGCATCCTGCATTCGTAAGACTTCTCTCTCTGATCATCGTTCAGCCACTTGTCTCAAGATTGTTATTAAAGAACACACAACATACTTCTGCCTCAGAGAATAGAACGAACTCACTCTGAAATCAACTGTCTAGAAGCTGTGAACAGTGAAAAATGTTATGAATAAATACACAAAGACGAGCTACACACACACACACACACTCACACTTTACTTTCACTTCTGTTTATTTTGTCGGTTGCTCATGCGCAGCTGTGTTTGTATTGTGTACACGTGCATGTTTGTGTGTGCGTATTGTGCACATGTATGTATGTGTGTGTGTGTGTTGTGTACATGTATGTGTGTGTGCGTATGTAAAGTTCCACCCTGCCTTATCGGCCCTCTGCAGTCAGAGGAACCCCCTCCCTTATCTCCACCACACTCCAGCTCCTCCAGGCGCAGTGACGAGCCAGATCTGTGGAAGCCGAGTTGTGTCTGATCAGCGGATCTCCTCAGGGATGTGTTTTGAGTCCTTTGCTTTTTAAATTGTACACTCAGATTGTACGTCTTCCCCTGACTCTAACTTGATCATGAAATTACCTGATGACAACCATCATCGCATTGGTCTCATCAGTGAAAACAACAAAACCTCTTACAGAAAATAAAAATAAATTGTTGAAAAGTGGAGTAAAGAAAACAACCTCCAGCTGAACACATCCAAAACATGTTAAACTTGTATTTTATTTTTGCTGTAGCAGTTCCCTCACACATGTTGTTATAGATCAACTCCCAGGTGTAGTTTCTAGGTTTAACTCTGTCTAACGACCTGAAATGGGACAAAAACACTATCCAGGTCGTCCAAAAGCTCATCAGCGCTTCTACTTTCTGCAAAAACGTTGAGAATTTCCCACCGCAGCTGCAGTAGGGGCGGCACGGGGGCTGAGGAGACAGCACTCTCGCTTCTCAGTAAGAAGGTCCTGGGTTCGAATCCCGGTCTGAGCAGTGCCTTTCTGATTGGAGTTTGCATGTTTTCCCCATGTCTGCGTAGGTTCCCTCCGGGTGCTCCGGTTTCCCCTACCACTAAAAACAAATAGGTCTGGCATGCGCCTCCTGTACTGCCCACCCCGCTCTCTGTGTGGAGTGAGAGACAATTGCCCAAAATTAACAATTGTAAACCGCTTTTTGACTCTGGTCTGAGAAACGCAGTATATAAATAAAGATTACTTACTAACTCTAATATCCTACTTTTACTTTTATCGCTGCACCATTGTAAGTTTGCTTGTTGGTTATGTGACTGTGGTTTGGTGACATCACTGACAAAGAAAGGAGAGCTAAATATGGTTTTCTCAGAAAGAGAACTGTGAGCTCCTGTTCTAGAGGTTCTTTATGAATCCAGACTTAAACCGAGCTCCTAAGATACTCATTGACTCTTCTGGCCCCTGGAAAAGCCATGTTACAGCTTCTTCCCTCTGGCAGAAGATATTGTTTGCAAACAAAGTCTGGGATTGCGTCTTAATTTCATTCAGACAGAAGACATGTTTTATTGTCGATGGTAGAGACAGCACGAACAAAGCACACGAACAACAGAATACAGAGCGGAGGCATGGAGACCTCCAATCAGCAGCTGCCACAGTGCCAGCAGAGATAGTCAAAACATGAAGTGTAAAAGTACAGGCTTCTGCACATTGATAGAATGATGAGTTTAACTTTAACAAAAGTTGCTTAAAAGTGTTATGAAATCTCACACTATAACCGTTATTTTACTACTCGAGTATTCTATCTATAATAAACCTTTGATCAATCAGGGAATATATTTACTGTTTTAACTCTGTAGGTAATATATGTTGATAATGTACTTACTTTGTAAATATTGAGTTAGATTGTGTCCTTCAGAACCAGAACCAGACAGTAGCAAGTATAATCAGTATGAGAGAGAAAGAGAGAGAGTGAGAAAGAGAGAGAGAGAGAGAAAGAGAGAGGGAGGGAGAGAGAGAGATTATTATTATTATATTACTATTTAACTTATTTTTTATGGCAGTTATTCTCACATCGGATCATTATCATGAAACAGTTCTGATCTCAATCGAACATGTTTTTACAAGGATTTGACTTCAATGAATTCAGTTGGAATCTGAATCTGGAGTGGATTGTACTGTTTTAAATAGTATTTAGAACTGTATCCAGGGGAAAAATGTGTCTAAATATGACTAAAACCGCACAAATGTCTGGACTTTTTTTATGTTAATTTACTGCACAACCTTAACTCCACCTTTTCTGTTTTTTGTCTCCAATTAATCAACTTTTTTATTCACAAACTCCTGAATTCATTTGGATTTCTTGGCATTCACAAACCTTTGTGAACTGTGTTTTTGCAGTGAGTAAATCCGTGCAGCCCCTCCCCCCTGCACCCCCCGCGGACCCCCCACACTCCACCGTGAGGGGGGCTGAGGAAGCGGCCTCGTGCGACCTGGAAGTGCTTGCGCCGCGTGGGACAATCACAAGTTAAATGTTTTCATACTTTGTTTTCACACGTGGGTAAAAATAAAGACGTATCCGCAACTGCTGAACAAAACAACAACGTAATACACGCATGCGCCGTGTCTGAACCAGAAGAAAAACATGGACAAATAAAAGCAACAAATGCATGAGAAAATATAAAACATATTTTATTTCATCCATTACTGTGCATTGGACTCTGCGTGCACGCGGCGTGCGGCCGAGACATGCGTCAATTATCTCATTACTATCACACATGAGTTCTGTCTGTTGTCAGACAAATAACGATAGCTACCATTTTATCTGCACCTTTAAAAAATATTTTTATTATTCATTGAATTGATCTCTGATTGAAATGAATGTTTTTGAAGTGCGCGCGGACACAGTAATGACGCACGACTCATGTCTCATGTGCAAATAAATAACTTACATAAATAAAATAATAAATAATTGTAATATTTATTTATTACAATAATTATTGTTTTATTATTATTATTATTATTATTATTAGTTAAACGCCCTTTTTGATTGTTTGTTCAGACTTATTTACAGCAGCAGAAAGCATAGAAAAAGCTCCGTGGACTCACCACCTGCAGGAGGATCAGTGAGGGGCTGGTGCTCTGTGGACCCAGAAATGGATTAAGGGGAAGAAAATGGATGGATAGAAAAATTATTCTGAATTATACATTGCTTGAATATGTGCATGTGCAATATAATCCTTCGCAATCAATAATGTGAGGGGAGGTACAGTATATGTCTCTTGCACATGTTTATTTATCTGGTTTATAATTATTATTAAAGTTATGTCACAAAATAGTCAGGGTCACTATTCTTTAATAAAATGAACCATCAATGCAGATAGATCCATAGACAACAGGCCGAGCAAGAACACAATGCAAATAATGATAACGATAATAATGAATATAATAATCATTATCATAATAATTATGATAATAATAATAATTATTATTATAATCATAATAAAAACATGTGAAAATAGGGAACTATTTTTATTATTATTTGTTTTAATCATAATTACACATGTACCATCACATTATAGAGTGTAAAATATCTAATGTAGAGATTCCCAGAGCGAATAGATGCAGGTATCATAAGAACTTGTACATTATAATGGGGTACCTCAAGTGTGAATGAACAAAAACATTAGTAATAAAATGCATAGACCCTCGCTCTCACAACGGTTTAGTTTGACAGTTTTCACAAGTGTATTTTTGGCCTCTGTGAAAAGAGAAAAAAATAGGACCACCATCACTCAGCCAATCAGTGTTCAGCCCAAGTGTTCTTTCTAATAAGATGAAGACATGTTGAGCTCTGGTTTGTTCCAACATTTCACTTCTGAGTTTGATTTATGACACACACAAAAGTTGTTCTGTATATTTAGTTGTATTTGTTCCATTCACAAAACGTGTTGATTGCTTTGTCAGTAAACCCTCATACCCCACCGTGATCCGGGACCCTGATAAAAATAAAAAAAATTAGAGAGAAAAAAAAAACTTTTTGGGGGCGAAAGTGTGACGTCACGCTCCCACCATGCGCACCAACGCGAACTCCGCAGCAGCAGCGGCAGCAGCAGAAGCGGCAGGAGCGACAGGAGCGACAGGCCTCGAGGCGGAGAAAACCCACGGAAAACCCACGGAAAACACCCGCAGACAGAGCCCCGGGACCCCCACGCCTCTCCCGGACCCCCCACCCGCGCGCTCCCCTCCACCGGCCCGCGCGGAGAGACGCATGCGGCAGCCCTGGAAACTTTTCGGTAACAACAGAAAACAGCCCAACAGCACACTCTGCTCTCTCTCTCCGTGTGTGTGTGTTTGTGCGCGCGTGTGTGTTTGTGCGCGTGAATGAGTGCGTGTGCGCGTACACGTGGGCCTGCCTCTCGTCACCCCTGTGCACCGCTTCGCTTCTGTTCGCGCGGTACGAATGCGCTATAACTAGTTGTTGTTGTTTACGAGTTGTTTGATGATGACGCATGTTGTTTAAGAAGTTTGTTTTGTTTTATAAACTTTCTTGTCGTGCGCGTCCATGTGGCTGGGCCGTGCGCGCGACCGCTGTTGCTGTTGTTTGCAGAGTTTTGGAAGCGACGCGACTTCGGAGAGAAGATTATTTTGGAGTGAAGCGAAAGGGGGGCTGCGTGCTTGTGCGCGTGTGTGTGTGTGTGTGTGTAGACCTATGCTTGAAGAGGCTATATATATGTTTTTACAAGTTTGTGTAACTCCGCATTTCGCTTGTGTTTCGCGCCTGGTTCGCTCCTGAGTCGCCTCTCTCCGCGTTGCGTGTCTTTTGGTCTTTTAGTGTGGGTGTTTTTTGATGTTGTGTGCGCGTGCGTGTACGTGTGTCGCCGCGCGTGAGTGAATGCATGCGCGTGTGTGTACGTGTGACGTAAGCGCACTTTTCCTTTGGAGGCGCCGCGTGTAAAAAAAACAAAAAAAAACACGAGGAGCTCAGTTTGGCATCAGCACGTGGGCCTGAGATCAGGTTTAAGATTAGACTGGTCAATATTTGGCATAAAAGGGCCATTATTTTGTGTGTGCGTGTGTGTGTGTGTGATGTCTATTATTAGGCACAATATTAAGACACAACAGCCCAAAAATAGAAGAGATTACAGTCAAAATAGGCCTGGATTATAGGCCAGTGTTAGTTCAATTATTATTCAACATGAGACGAATATGAGGCTGTTGGTCTGGGCCTTTCTGTGGTGAAGAGTGGAGCTTATTGGACTTCAAACAGGCTCTTTAACCCATAATAATAACACACAAAAATATTCTAATTTCCTGAGATGTTTTATTTGTGATTTTTTTACAAGCTGTGAGGCAATTATTGACATGACAACAAAGGTGTGATATATCTCACTTTGTATGTAATGAGTTTGTCGGATTACTTTCACATTGTAAGCTGAATTACAGAAGCAAATGGAACGATATTGTAGTTTTTCAAGTTTCACCTGTATTACTGTACAACCTCGCTGTATAATAAAAACATATTTTTGGGTTATTATGTATAGTCTAATAAGCTCCAGTCTTCACCACATAAAGGCCCAGACCAACGTGAAGCCTCATACTCGGCTCATGTAATAACTGAATTTATACTCCAAGCCTGTAAAAGTAAATGGACTTTTCAAATTTTCACCCGTTTTGAACTGCTCTGGAAATGTTAGAATTTGTCACGTTGTTGTGTATTTTGAGTGAGTTTCTAAGATGAGGGTTGATGCTGCAGAAATTGCGAGTTTTTACGTTCAATGTTGGTTGCTTTTGACAGTGACACAGTAAAATATATTTCCATTTCATTCTGCATGTGTATTACTTTATTATTTCATGATTGAATTCTTTCACATGTATTTTTTGTTCTTTGGGCTTCTTGATTACTGACTGGAAAAATGTAGAAGATTTCTTTTTTATCTTTTTTTTGGCCTTTACGTATAATGATAATTACTGTTTTTGGACAAAGTTATGATCTAATAATATTTTTGTAATGTGGCAGGAGTTGTTGTTGTGGGATGCGTACTTGATGTTGAGTGATTTTTAACTAATAGCAGAAATGATGTGGTTTTTGAGTTGTTTATGATATTTGCTAATATTGTATTTACATTACTTAACCACTGGACACACACATACACACCCACATACATACATACTCTTGGGTTTGATTCCACCTCCAGACAGTTTGGGTGTTCTCCCTGTGTCTGCGTTGGTTTCCTCCAGGTGCTCCGGTTTCCCCGACCACTAAAAACATGTACAATAGTTCTAGGTGAATGAATGTAAGTAAGTACGCTTTATTTATACAGCGCCTTTCGCAAACCAAGGCCACAAAGCGCTTCACAATGAAAGCAGATAAAATACAGCACAAAAACAGCTGGTGTTTGCGAGTGTGACTGTGGGATGGAAATTAGCTACATAGTTCCAGTATATCTCGTGGACACGGCTCTGAACAACACACCAACCTTTCCCACTGCTGTCCCAGGGAGACACAACATATTGTACCAACACGGCTCAAAACCACAGCTGTAGATTGTCACTGTTTATTAGCAAACACACAGAAGCATTATGTCATCTTCATCTATTTCTGTTATCTAAAAACATAGACAAGCACCTTCCAACAGCAGTGTAGTATTTGTTGTAGTGTAGCGGTAGTAGTAGTAGTTGTAGTATTAGTGGTGGTAGTAGTGTAGTATTGTGAGAGAGTTTGTGTTAAACCTTTTCACCTCAGAGGACACGGTGTTCAGCTGCAGCAGAGGGCAGATCAGTAGTTAGTAGGGGTAGTAGCGTGGTGTGTTTTAGTAGTAGTCGCAGTAGTAGTTTGTAGAATCAGTTTAGAAAAGGACCGGGCCAGAGTCAACCGTGTCAACCGAGTCAACCACGCTCCTTTTTTGTGAACGTTGAACTGAACGCAACACATTTTTAAAAAAAGAACTTGAACGTGAATTAGTTCATTTAATGTGTCATGAACGGCAGACCTCACTATGAACGTTGGAATCTGTTTTCTCTTTTGAAACGCAACGAGAGAAAGTTCCTCCCTCCTGCATTCTCGCACTTTTTCGGCGAAATCTAAAAATTCCTACGGTTTCCACCGTCTGTGAACGCACCCCGACTCCGTGGTTGCGGCGCTGTGAGCTGGTGCTTTTACATGTGCCCGAGTCGTGATGAAAACACAGGGTGAGTTAGCGACAAAGTTTACACCGTTTACATTTGACATAAAGTATAGACACACGCACTGCAGCGCATTACTGTCTGTAGTTTATGAGCAGAGATGGAACAACTCCGTTTGGCTCCCATTGAAAACCATGTAAATCTTGTCTGTTTTGTAGTCAAAAGGCTCTCCTCCCTGTGGGTGTACAGGAGATATATAATATATATATATATATATATATATATATATATATATATATATATATATATATATATATAGCTCGTAGTGTGAAAAAAATATGTATTTAAGTATCTCACGAAAAAAGTAAAATAAACTGAACTTTGAACGTGAACTGTTCACTTTGAGCATGTATGAACTGAACTTGAACTAGTTCAAAAAAGCTGTGAACTGGCACAACACTGGTAGTAGTAGTGTGTGTTGAACCTCTGGGACACTGGGTTGGGCCTGGGCAGGGGGCATAAGTCAGAGACATGTGACCGTTTCACAAGTCCAGGTCAGGAGAGAAGGAGACGGGAGTAGGATCCTCACCAAAGGCAGACCTGCAGAGGGTTTTAGCGTCATCCATGCTGTCAGCGACCTGCAGAGGGTTTTAGCGTCATCCATGCTGTCAGCGACCTGCAGAGGGTTTTAGCGTCATCCATGCTGTCAGCGACCTGCAGAGGGTTTTAGCGTCATCCATGCTGTCATGGATGACGCTATATACAAGAGCGTCATCCATTGTATATACAAATATATACAAGAGTTTGTTAAACCAATTATATTCTGTCTTTGAGGTGGAAGAATGTTGTTACACAATTTTTAAATGTTTATTTTGTATCATTTGTCTCATTGAATCAGAGAATCAAACTGTTCAAACACAAGAATGTAACAATAAAAACACATAGATCCATTAGTCCATACGCGGCAGAGACCAATGTCCATGAATGCTGATACATGTCAGGGGTGTCACAATTTCCATGTTTTAATTGAAATCAAAATTAAAGAGAGGATTGACAATCGCTGTAGCGCTTATTGCGTCGGTGCATGCCCAGAACACTCGTGGTTAACCCAGACATTTAAACTGGCGGACACGGGGATCTGGGTTTTTCCGGTTACCAAGAGTGCATTAAAGTTAGTTTACGTGCTCTTGTGTGAATCAAAGACTGAGGAGGCAGCCGGTCAGACCTGCTTGTTTATACGCACTTTATGTGGCGTGATCGGTCACGTGCACCTTGTTCATGTGTTCTATTCGGTCACAGGTGATGTGTCCGGCCTACAGTACGTGCCCGGTCAGACATTTAAACTCTGTTTATGCGAGTGCGTGTTCCACCTGGGTTTGGAGAAATGCAATAGTCATGTACTGTTCATCGTGAATGTTCAAATTGGAAGTGTTTTGTCATGGCTCAGAGCTGTTTTATCAATATGAAGTATTGATTAATGAACACAGTTTGTAATTATGTAGTTATTAATTGAAGCTAAATTATAGAATCATGTGTAAATTGTTTGCTAAAACAATGTAATTAATTTGCATTTATTGAGAAACGCATAAAATTGTGACCCTCAAATTGAATTGAGGATTTGAAAAATCATGACACCCCTAATTAGTGTTCATAAATGTTGTTGAATGTGGAGTGTCCTGGACCAGTCTTTAGACTCTAAAGAAACCCAGTGAGAAAAAGTGAGAAACCTCGAGGAGGACTGAGCTTTTTAATCAATCAATCAATCAATCAGTACAAAATTAAGTTTAGGACCATTTCAGTTCTCACACGTCAGAGGAAGCCTGTCCCAGAGTCATGATGCTCATTTATGACGTTTGTCTCAACAGTCGTTATGACTGTGGGGTCAGTGGATTCTCCCAGATCAGAGACACCACTGACACATGTGAAAACTGTAGCGAAAACACATTATACCATAGTGTAGATTCAAGAAAACTTGAAATGTGCAGAATAGATCTGTTCAACTGCATCAAGCTGCTCCAGGACCAAAAACAAAATTATAAAAGAGACAACGCTGAAATAGACGTTATCCACAGGTGTCTTCATGACGCCTCAGATCTACGTCCAGAACAACAACAAACTGTGATCTTTGCACATCGCAGCGTTGTCATGTAAAGCCACGTTTCTATGTAAAGTCCAGTTCATGAAAACAGCAGAATGTTTTAAAGTCGTCTCTGTGAGGCCTCTACCGCTGAAACATAAGTGATTTATGTCTGCTGTTGCAGAGAACATGTACAGATGATGAATATATGATATACAGTATGATAGTATATGAGTTATAGTTTTATAACTATATAACTATAGTTTTATATCAGTTCCTGAACGATGACTGGGTCTGAGCTGCGGGGCCGGCCGCTCCATGTCGCTTTGATCCGGAGAAATGTAAGACCTCGTTTCCTCCACATTTTTGCGGCAGAAACCAAAAGTGACTAATTGTTTGTAAAAAAGGCCGCAGCTCGTCTGGCCATGACAGGGCTCTGACTCACACTTCTCTCCTGACCCCCGCTGCAGGTTGTGGTCAGTTTTTATGAATGAGCGTACAGTCTTTGTTTATTAGTCATAAAACTACAGTAAAGGATCCAGAACGTCCAGGCCACAGCGCTGATGCACGCAGTCGGAATGCACTTTTCAGACACTGAGAATTAGCCCCGGCTGCAATGTGTAACATGTGCTTATCAAACATACTTGTTCCTATGGTAACCAGAACATGCTAACAATACATGAGGAAGATAGATGAAAGAAGAGGCCTGTCTAGGGTCCAACTGTATCTGTTTCCTCCAATAGAGATTTTAATACAATTCTGAATTACTTTTATACATAAAACTATGAGAAACAAGAATGAATTCCTGCACTGGTTTTTCACTGGTCTGTCTGGTGCTAACACTTCTCTGCAAACTGATTTAACATTTCAAAAATTAAATGAAATAATATACAATAGAGAAGATTAATTTTAAGACTGTGGGCTCTGCAGGCCTCTTCTCTAAAGCACCCGACATGAAGTAATGAATGAAAGTGTCAACATGAATTTATGTGCAATTCTTTAAGTGACTATGACTGAGACAGAACTTTTAGACAGAAGGGGCGAAGTTCCTAATAATACCATGTAAGGATCTAAAAACAATTGTAACATGGTTAATAGCTCAAAATGGATTTGCATAACATGTCTCTTTTAAGCTTGACATCAGAGAGACAAGTCAACTTTATTTGTATAGCGCTTTTCACAGACACAGAGTCACAAAGTGCTTCACAAAAACGTAAATGTAACAAAACAATGTAAAAACAAATCAAGAGATTGAGAGAAAACTTGCAGCTCTTTGTCCTCGTCGTGAGTGGAGAGAATGGAAATGAGCGGTACACCAACATTGTTCAGCGCTTTTTATGACCTTTGTTTGTGAAATGTGCTATATAAATAAAGATGACTTACTTACGCCGGAATGAGGCTTTTATCAATGTGCATCTCTGCTTCTGTCGGTTTGTGGTTTGTGCTGCAGCCTCACCTCGAGTGAACTCAGCCACTCTCACTCTAACACCTCCTCTTTACTAAGCATTCACAAAAAAACTCTTTCCACCTTTGAATTCACTCGATGCAGATAATTCCACCGGTTTACAGCCTTTTCAACCTTTTATTTATCTGGAAAACTGCCCATTCAGAGTCAGGTTTCCAGTATAAAGGCCGACAGGGGTCATTTTAAAGAGTGGGTCCCTGCTTTAGGCTCAGATGTGCAGGGGCTGTATCTAACTGCTAATTTACACAGGAGGCGTTACAGCACGTGCGCATTGTACGCGCAGCAGACGTGTGTAATATTTTTACATGTAAACCAATCGTGATATTTACACTACTAGTGATATACGCGCGTATGACGTATTGACGCGAGGCTGCGCCTAATTTAGGATGGATTTCTAATTTTGTGCGCGCAGCAACGCGTCTCCATTGAAAACACATGTGAAACATGATTTTTCTAGCGGCCCTTGGCTTTAGATCGCATCTACACACACACAGCACTTGTATCTAAACATCAGCAGGAGGAGCAGCAGGACTTTCAGTGATTCTGGACATCGTTTTTTTTCTTTCATAAAGTCTGGCGTCTGGCCAGACCAGCGCACAGAGACCATGAAGACAAACACATGCATGTGATTTGTGTTGCTCTACATGTCCTCTGTACTGTCCTCTACACTGCTCCATAGACTAAATTCCCTGTAAGTGTGACAATTACTTTTACTGTTACTTTTTATTTCAAGCCACTTTTTATTTTCAGGGCACACTTTTTTGCAGTGTGGAGGAAAAAAATTTTATGGTTGAGATAAACAAGGAGAAAGAGGAAAAGAGAGAGATCCAAAGAGCAGAGGGAACACTCCAGGAATATTGACACAAGCTTCGAGAGGAAGAGGAGGAGAAAAGGGAGGATGAGGAGGAGAGAGGATAAGGGGGAGCAAAGAGAAGAGATGGAGGGGGAGGAGGAAGAGGAGGAGCAGGCTGACTGGAGGGGAGCTGTGTTTCCTCTCTGTGATTATATGGACGTCGGGAAACACGATACATCTGTATACAGTTATAGTATATATATCTATATACTATAACTAAAAATATATCTATATTCTATAACTAAAAATATATCTATATTCTATAACTAAAAATATATCTATATTCTATAACTAAAAATATATCTATATACTATAACTAAAAATATATCTATATTCTATAACAAAAAATATATCTATATTCAATAACTTGGTTCAAACGAGTGAAAATGCTGTGAACTTGGGCACTGCTAAATATATTCTCCCGAATCATACTACATGACCGATTTGGACCGTTTGTTTGTCCCCACTGCAAAAGACTTGCCATTTAGTCTTATTTCAAGAACTGTTGCTTTATTTTCTGAATCCAAAGGAGACTTTTCTTGTATCTTAAGAGGTTTTTTTCGTGTTTTAAGGAAGTCAGAATATGCTCAAATTAAGATGTTGTCAAAGACATTTTAGACTTATTTTCATCATTTAATGCTGTGCCGTAAGTCTTTCACCAGTGTCGGGGAAGTAACTTTTTAAAAGTAACTTTTCTCGTTACTCGTTACTTCTTTTAAAAAGTAACTTGTTACTTTACTTAGTTACTTTCTAAAGAAAGTAACTTACTACGTTACTCGTTACTTTTGTGTTACTGTTATTATCCACTACAGTCTATGCTATCCACTAAAAGCTGTCAAACCAGGGAGACGAAACATTGACTTTGCATTGAAACCGGTGTAAACGAACCCTAAGGAGCCAATGAAACGCTTCTTCACACAGACACAGTTGATACACAAAGCAAAGCAGTGGCTGCAGAGTCCGAGACACTGACACGTTTATCACATGAGCGGCTGTTTTGATCCACGCTCTGGAGCCTCTGTGTAGTTTGCCCATCACTGAAAAGTAACGTTGTGGCAGATCGAAAAATAACCGGCTTTACCTTACTAAATTGTCAATAGTTAACGGTTAAAGAAAAAGTAGTTTGACGCGTTACTTTGTACACCCAACACTGTCTCTCACGATAACTAATTTTGACAATTCAGAAAGGGGTTCAGTAATATGTCATATTTTACATTATTTAAGGACAATTATGCACATTTTTAACATTTATGGACATTGGTCATCCCCCTCTCTATGGCTCTATGTGTTTCATTGC